ACCCTTTTATTTGAAAGTCTGACTCTGCACCAATCAAGGCATTAACTTTGAGGGTACTAAGTGACTTTGAATGAAGAATTGAGCAACCATATTTCAGGAAGGGCAAGACCCAGGACTGTCCTGGGGAGTCTCAGAAGCTGGAACTGAAGGATGACAGTTTCTTAGCCCCTTCTCCTCAGAATGTCCATTTCCACTTGCCCTCTCCCTTTGGTGACACTGTCTTCTATGAAAGGATAGAGGGAAGAGGCCAACCATGGTTTGTGTTGGCATTATTCTTGGCAAATCTGAAGCCTAAAGCAGAACAGTCTTTAAAAGGAGGGAAGTTTTTATTTTTATTTATGTCTTGTTTACTTCCCAAAGGTCATTGAGTGAATCATGGTTCATCATCTGATAGGTGTTAATTTTATAATCTAGATAGTATTTACCATGTGTGACAAGTATAGTATAATTGTATTCTATCTAATGGTACTTCTTGGTGTAGACCTACATTTTTTAAACATTTTCTATTTTAGCACCAGGCACAGTATTGATGTTTAATGACCCTAATCTAGTACGTCATGTACTATCTGCAATTAAAGAGTGTGCTCTTGGTTTTTACTACATATATAATTAAGAACTAGAATGTATCTATTTTTGTATCTAAATTTTAGGTCTATTAATCTGAAAAAAACTTAAGATTAAAATTATATGTTATATAATAATTATTTTTAAGTTCTTATTTTTGTAAAAACTGCCTTATTTCTCTTCCAGACACATTAAAGAAAGAATATAATGTTAGAGTAAATGATAATTATAATATACTAAACACCATGAACCTTCCAAAAGAAATGAATCTACGGAAATGTTGACAAGAACATGCATCTCAAATCTAATTTTGACTGGTGCCATAGTACCTAAATCTTTAACACAAAATTTAATTAATGTAAATATTGAGCACTATTGTGTTGGTTGGTGTTTGCATAAATGTTTTAAGGGCATAAATTATGCAGTGGTGTTTATGGCACAGAGGAGTGCTGAGTCAGAATCTGGTTAAATCATGGCCATGAGATCTGCCAGCAGCTTATGGGGGGTCCAAGTTTTCTTTTTGTTTTTGATGTCCTTATTTCACTTTAAATAAAATTACTTTAAGTTTTTATCATTTTCTTTTAGGCATAATATTAATAGGTATCATATAACTAATTTTAGCCAATATACAAATCAGTTTACCTCTTATTTCAACACCTGAGATGACCGTTACTTCTATTCTAATTTCTATTGTCCTTGCTCATCCTTTCTTTGTTTTGTCATATAAACAAAGACCTTGGCCAGTCCAAGTAAATGATCTGGCTGGTTGATTTAGTCTGCTTTTTCACTGCTGTGACCAAAAGACCTGACAAGAATAAGTTTAGAGGAGGAAAAGTTTATCTGGGGGCTCGCAGAGKTATCGGTCCATAGATGGCTGGTTCCGTTGCTCTGGGCCTGAGGAGAACATCTTGGTGGAAGACTGTGGTGGAAGAAAGTGGCTTAGGACATGCACCAGGAAGCAAAGAGAGACTGAGTTCATCTCACTGGGCATATCCCCCAATGACCCACCTTCTCCAGCCACACCCTACCTGACTAGAGTCACCACTCAGTTAATTCCTATCAGGGGATGAACACACTTATTAAGTCAAGGCTTTTAATATTTATTTTTTTTGTTTTAGGTGGACACAATATCTTTATTTTATTTTTATGTGGTGTTGAGGATCGAACCCAGTGCCCCACACATGCCAGGCGAGCGAGCTACCGCTTTGAGCCACATCCTCAGCCCAAGGCTTTTATAACTCAATTATTTCACCTCTGAAATTTCTTGCACTGCCTCACACAGGAGCTTTTGGGAGACACCTAATATGAAAACCATAACACTGGTCTTATGAATGACTTAGTTGGTTAGACAYTGCCCCATGATCTCTGAAATTTAATATTTTGGACAGCAGGGGACTAAACCTTTTTTATTTACAGATGATCTGCTATTTTGATTTCTGGCTGATTCCCTGTGATGCTTTATCCTTATAATATAGAAAGTTTCTTGGGAGATATATGTAGATATTTTTCTTCTTTCTTTTCTTTTTTTTTTTTGGATGCTCTATCTTTTTAGTTTCTGTGCTCAGATCTCTTTTAACCTGAGAAATATTAACAAAATCATGTTCTACTGTGCTCTTCCTTTACAGTTACTTAATTTTATACCCACTATATCTTTGTGCCTTGTTCATTGGTCCTGTCAGTATGTTTGTCGTACACCTTTAATCCTCCCGCACTGTCTCTCCATGTAAAGTGGGTGGTGTGCCTCCACCTACGCATGGCTTATGATCCATAGCAGCTAAGTGGCGGCTCAGGGTGTGGATTTGTTCTTCTCATCCCCTGCTTCTGCCTCTTTGTAAATGGTAAGGGTGTTGGCCCTTTGCTTCCCATCAGGAGAATGCACTCTTCTCCCAGGCCTCCCCACCAGGTTTCTATTCCACTACATGGACAGCCTGGGAGCCTTGGACCTGGTTTCAAGTGCTATCCATTTTCTCTCTCTAAACCTGGAAACAAATATGTGATTCTTGTAGCAGCTCCTTCATCTATGTCCCAGTGATGTTCTGCTTTCTCAGGAAAAGAAATCAAAGAGTGATATCTTGTCTGACTTTAGCCCTTATCACCCTCTTTTGATTTTTTTTTTTTTTTCATTACTGGGGATTGAATCCCCAATCTTATGCATACTAGATAAGCAACATACCACTTGGCTACATCCTCAATCCCTTAAAATTCATTTGATGGAAGCTGGGCACAGTGACTCATGCCTGTAATCCCAGCAGCTTGGGAGACTGAGGCAGGAGGATCACCAAGTTTAAAGCCAGTGTTAGCAACTTAGTGAGGCCCTAAGTAACTTAGTAAGACCCTGTCTTAAAAAAGGGCTGGGGATGTGGCTCAGTGGTTAAGCACCCCTGGGTTCAATACATGGCACCAAAATAATAATAATAATAWTAATTAATTAATTAATTAATTTGGGCTGGGGATGTGGCTCAAGCGGTAACATGCTCACCTGGCATGTGTGGGGCACTGGGTTCAATCCTCAGCACCACATAAAATAAAATAAACATGTTATGTCCACTGAAAACTGAAAAATAAATATTAAAAAATTCTTTCTTCTCTCTCTTTCTCACTCTCTTCTCTTTAAAAAAATTAATTAATTAATTAATTTGATTGAGGGGTGGAAGATTAGGTGGTATGTATGTTTATATTATGGTCTTAACCAAAGTGTATAACCTTTATTTAAAAATATATATACATACACACACACRTGCCTACATGTACATATACATAGCTATAGTTTATTTGTGCATGTGTGTAGAGGGGTAAAGGAAGGGATAGAAGAGTGGGATAGAAGCAAAATACACCACCATGTGGCTTGTACAAGATCTTTTTAAAAAATTATTTATTTTAATTAGGTATATATGAGAGTAGAATGCATTTTGATTCATAGTACATAATTGCAACATAACTTTGCATTTCTCTGATTGTACACAATGCAGTGTCGCACCATAAGTGCAGTCATACATGTATCTAGGGTAATAATGTCCATCTCATTCCACCATCTTTCCTGTCCCCATATGTCATCCAAGCTCTTGAAAGCTGCTTGGTGAGCAAAGCCCTCGCATTCCTCCCTGGCTTCCTTGCTGCCCTCTGATCCCTATGATCTCTGTGCTTAGAAGGAGGTCACAGCTTTTTAAAGAACTCACTGACCACAGATATAATTTGAGTCCCTTCTTCATCAAAATAAACTGCAAGATTTCATATCAAACTCAAAAAGAATCAGAGCACTTGCTGCACGTCAGCTCACTAATCAGCTCAAGAGCACGAGTAATTTCAAGGCCCAGGAGAAGCAAAGAAAGGCTGAGCTCCCAGCACCTGGTTCTTCCTGGCTGTCTTAGGATATGGTCTGTCCACAGAGTGACAGAGGAGGTTGCTAAGAGGTATGTGTATCCACATCACTTACACAGAAGGGTTCAGTGACAGAATTGTTCCATTTTATACTCTGATAGCTACATAACTTACATGAGGTTGTCCTGAAGCAATATCTTACAATAGATTCTAGGACTTATTTAGCAAATGACTTGTTTAGCAGAGCAGGTACAGTCTGCCAAAGGATTTCTCCATTAGCAGTAGCCAGGAGATCTGGTATTCACACCTTTACAAGAAGATCAGACTGTATCTTCCTCATGCAGGAGAAGARATTCCAGGTTTTCCTTTCCACAATTGGATCAACTTTAGTCTACTCTGTGATGCTTCTGCTTATGTCGATTGCTATTCCCCTCCACTATTGATATGTCTAGTTCATGAGACAAGTAGTCAGGTAAATGAGAGAATTCCAGGGAATTCAATTTAGTCAATGTTTTAATGTAGAATGATTGATCCTAAAAGTTACCTACTGATAATACCAAGTAAAACATCTGCAATTATCACTTGTGCTTAATTACCTAAATAAGAGACTGTAAGGATGGTAAAMCCTATTCTATGAATTATAAAGTATTTCAAAATTGCTTACAATGAAATGTAAATGCTGAAGATAGGGCGGTCAGTTTAGTGTACGTCAGTGGTCTTTTAATCTGTTCTTTTGACATTTGGGGAGTGATTTTGCCCTTTATATTCTTTATTTTAAGTGTTTCATGTTAACTCTTTAAGCCTTACTTTTATTAACATTTAAACCTTATTTATATTAACTTTCATGCCTTATTTTTTTCTGCTGAGCACAATCTTTATTCTGAGATTCATGGGAAATCACTCTTAGACTAAGACAAGCATGAAATTTCACTGTGCATCATACATTTGCACTGATAGATGAGTGTCTTGCTTGAGTTCTAAAAGGGAGGCTGTGCAGCACCACTACACAGGGGCTTGGCCCAGCCACCAACCTGGGCATCAGCATTTCTACTTCCTGTTTGTCCAGAGACTCACCATTCCAACACAAGCTTCTGTGTCTGTGCCCCTTGTTTTGCTAGGGAGGACGAGCATGCCCTCATCCAGCAGTACTGCCAGACGCTCGGTGGGGAGTCCCCGGTGAGCCAGCCTCAAAGTCCAGCTCAGATCCTGAAGTCTGTGGAAAGGGAAGAACGTGGAGAACTGGAGCGGATCATTGCTGACTTAGAGGAAGAACAAAGGTTTGCTAGGCCCAGGAGAAGAAAACTTATCACTCTTTTTTTTCATGTGGCTATCAGGGTGTTCCCTGCCCATCTTCTTTTCAGAACGATTGTCCAAGATGTCAGAGTGGAATCAAGGTCTTGGAGGACATTGACGCATTGGGATAGGGGCAGCAGATCTGACAGTGCTTGACATTGATGATGTCTGTTACAATACTAGTTTAAAGCCACTGTTTCCTTCATGCTTGCTGGTCTTACTGCTGATACATGTCTTTACATAGAGGAAATAGTAGCACAAGCTAAATTTGGAGCCCATAGACAGTGTGGGAGATTACTATTTGGGAGATTACTATTGCACCCAATAGTAATTTCAGTGTTTTCTTTTCTTTTTTTTTTTTTTCCGGATTAGAAACCTGCAGGTGGAATATGAGCAGCTGAAGGACCAACACCTGAGAAGGGGGCTTCCTGTTGGCTCACCTCCAGACTCGATTGCATCTCCTCACCACACGTCTGAGGATTCAGAACTTATAGCAGAAGCAAAACTCCTTAGGCAGCACAAAGGTCGGCTGGAAGCTAGGATGCAGATTTTAGAGGATCACAACAAACAGCTGGAGTCTCAGCTGCACCGCCTTCGACAGCTGCTGGAGCAGGTAGGGTGTGCTGAATCCAGCGCCACAACCCCTGTGGCACCTGTCCACCTCCCAGAGGTCTGGGCCTGACACCACTAGACGTAGAGGTCCACCTTCAATTTCTTACTTCCATAGTTAATTTAATTTGGACAGGCTTGGGAATCCCTTTGTGTGTACACATTAAATCCTTACTGGCACAGAAAAATGTGTTTTCCCAGTTTACAGTGGAATCTCATTTTTCTTTAGCACGGAAGTCTTATCTCAGCTCAAAATAGTTTAATAGAAGAGATCCCACGGCATACATTTGCCTACTACATCGCATATGGGAAGCATYTGTGGAGATTAGAGGACAGCAAGTGACCCGAATCTGCATTCTAAAGCTTTCTTCCACCAGCCAAGAAAGCGTACTCCAAAAAATCACTATTTCCAAGAAATTGAGTAACAGATGGTTATTAATTTGCTACTATTATTTTCAAACACTGGTCCATGTTTTATGGCAGTTGCTTGCAAACTTTTATGACAATAAGAAATACAATTTGTATTGTGATGAAAACATATATGTTTGGTGAATACAAAATAATACTTGCCTTTATAGAGAAATGCATCTCTTAATTTTCTATTCTTTTTCCTTTTCTTCTTATTCCTTTCCTTCCTCCCTCTCTGTCTTCTTTTCCTCCTTCCTCCCTTCCTCTCACCCTTCTTTGCTGCTGCTGCTGCTTCTTCATTTTTTTTTACTTCTCTTGTTTTTCTTTCTTAATGCTGGTCAGACCCTACTAAATCAATTTTATAACTCATTAATGGGTAATAGCTTGCAGTTTTGAAGAMCACAACAAGATAGTATCCTATATTACAATTGTATATAACAAAACACACCCTATTCAAAGACAGCATGCTGCACAGCGTCCAGTACTCATTACACCTTGGCTTAAAGAGCAGGAATCATGACACAGCGTGAGCAATRAAGATGCCTTGACAGTGGTTGCACAGAGGGTAGAATCCTGGTGCAGGGCCAGGAACTCCTTGCTTGAAGAATCCCTGACATCAACAGACATGTCCTCTTTGGCCTTTTTTCTTGCTTAGGCAGTGTGGAGCTCCTTGGTAATGGAATAAGGATGATTTTCTCCAGAAATGATGCGTGGCATCAAAACCAAAACAACTTTCTCGCTAGTGATTTGCTCAAATTTTAGGAAACTATCTTGTCACAGTTGTTCTCAGTGTCTTTTTAACTTGTCAGAATCAGTCAAAACATTATAATTTCTGCATTACCTATGTAGTGGGCCACAGATCTCTCCTGATAGTTTGACCGTATGCCTTTTTCTCCTTCCTATCATCATCTTGGAATTTTTGTAGCACTGCTTTGTGGGAGGTTTAGCTCAGGGCTTCCAAATTCTGCATCTTTTGGAAACAACTTCCCCCMGCCCAAGAGTGACCCAAGACCTAGCTTTCTGATAACACTTCAAGAATGCTCAATTCTTGCCTAGGTGCCAGTCACACACTGAAAAGATGCCATTGCTTATACCCTGGATTGGAAGTTTCTAAATGGTGCCTGAGAAAAGGATGAGTTTGCTCATGTGATCTCTCACTTAGAATATGAGTGTTGACAGCCTAGTGCATATGTAGAATCATTGCGGAAGAAACCTTTATCAGCTGTGGCTTGTAGAGGCTTATAGGAGACCTAAAGATTCTTGTGCTCCACTTTGCTCCCTCCAGTCCCTCCACCCCATTAGGCAGAGCTGCCTAATGGCTCATGCGCCTCAGGAATGGCACAGTAATGTGTTTGAAGATAACTAATATCTAAATGACTCTGAATATCCCAGATTGTGGAATCCCTATCCCTTGTTAATGATTTAGCATGAATGCCAGAAGTAGATGGGAAAATTTAACTCTGATAATAAAAACAAGCAAAACTATCAGACTTCAGCTAATATAGATTTAATGGGAAAATCTATAACAAAACAATTATAACTTCTGCATTCTGTATACAAGGAATTTTGTTTTCTAATTTGACCACATACTCATCAACATACCAATGACCATTTTAAAGATTTGGGTAAGAGAGCATTTAAAAAGTATCTGCTAGGTGTTAGAATGTTCCTGTCACTTTAGAAATACTCATTCATCAACCCCTCAGATTCCTATGACATGGGCACCTGTTGCCATTTTTATAAATTTATTTATGATATTATAATATCTTATAATATTTTTATAAATATTTTATAAAATTTATTTTTATAAATAAAGAATCCAAGGCACAAAAAATTGTTTAATTTTCCCAGAATTACACTGCTTCTGAATGGCAGAGTTAGAATTTGAATTTAAGCCAAATGACCCCAAATCCTGCTCTTATYCACTCTTTCCAATATTGCCTTTAAATCTGAACTAATTCTGTAATTAAATACATTTACTGTATTATAAGCCCAGAGCTAATATTTAAAAGATGAGAGAAACATGCTTCTAAGTTCACTTGTTCAATATGAAAATAATGGAAAAATGAAGAGATGAAAATGACATTGGTAAATGAATCCCTCAGTGTGTCCAAGTGAGCTCTTGAARTTGCCACACAGAAGGGAAGGACCACTTGTATTTCTCTCTAGTGAAGTACTAGTGTGCCCACCAGCTGGTGCTAAGWGCTATTTGAAAATGCCTGAAGGCAAAGACCTGCATCTGATTTAATTATCCATGATGAGGGAGGGAACATTGAAAGGGAACTGCTTTCCTTCAGGGTTATTTGAATCCTGTCTCTACTCTAACCACTTCATATGATTCCAGCCTGAATCCGATTCCCGAATCAATGGCGTCTCCCCCTGGGCTTCACCTCAGCATTCTGCACTGAGCTACTCACTTGACCCTGACCCAGGCCCACAGTTTCACCAGGCAGGTCAGTACCCCTAAGGCACTGCTACATCCCCAGTCTGCTTTGTATTTGGCCATTTGTTTGGTTTTCATTTCAAGGAGCCTTAGAGCATAAATGTGTATTCTCTTTGGTTTTAAATGAGCGCAAATYCATTTTAACAACACAAAAAGGCAAATATTTTAGAATAGTAATAAATCATAATTTGTTTGTTTATAGAATTTATAGGAGTGGATTGAATTTTGGTAAAAGATGAAAAAAATCCCTTTTGGAATGAGCAAGAAATTAACTTTTTATTTGCTTCAAGAATTATTTTTTTAAAAGTTGTCATATCTTTTTAATTTTCATAGTTTTTACACGTTCAAAACATATTACCCCAAACTGTAGGTTTCTCTGCCCAGGTCTGGGAACTCATTTAAATCTTTATATATCTYGTGCTAGTAAAAATTACCTCTCCTTCCCTCTGAGACAGAGGTCCCACCAAGACCATCACTGGTCACAGGGAGACCTGTCACTAACGCTAGGAAGGACCTTCTAGGCATTTAAGAATGACATTTTGTTGAAATTCAAGTTCTACAGTTCTACTGAAGACTATATACTGTATCAAATTAATTTATCTGTAAGATATATTTTGGTACATTAATGAGAAGAAAAATTAAAATTAATGTCAGTTTAATATTGTCTTAAGTAACTAATGCGACTTGATTATTAAAAAAAAATTAAATTAAAAATATATAATATATATGTGTTACACACACACATACACACACACATATATATATATATATATATATATATGTATATATATATATATATTTAGTTGTAGGTGGACACAATACCTTTATTTTATTTTTATGTGGTGCTGAGGATCAAACGCAGTGCCTCACATGTGAGTTCTCTACCACTGAGCCCCAGCCCGAGCCTCAGCCCTAGCCCCAGCCCCTATATGGGTCTTTTTTTTTTTTTGGATAAAAACATACTTGCAGTACAAAATAATGGATTTCCAACTAAGACATTGAGAATAGATGATTACATTACTTATTTTCAGTCTTATGTTTTACCATAGTGCATGGATCGTTTGGACACAAGCATCTAATACATTTTAATTATATAAAATCATATTACCAACAATTGAATATTAAAAATGTTTTTGATATTTCCTCTGAAATGGTCTTTTCAATGAGAAGTCATTTCCCATTGATGTTTTGAGGCCAGTCATAGAATTTTCACCTGATGTTGAGTGTTGGTGGGAGTCTGGGCACTGAATTCAGATTCTGTTCTTTCTGTGTGCTGTTGCAGCAGCAGAGGACCTGCTAGTCCCACCCCAGGACACCAGCACGGACCTCACCGAGGTCATGGAGCAGATCAACAACACTTTCCCATCCTGCTGCCGTGAGTATGAAAGATCACGCWCGGCTGGGTGCTATGTCCCACCCTTTCGTTTTCTGCAAGCAGCCCCTTTCTTCTTGGGTAGGGTAGCAAAAGCTCATGTTAGAAACAGGATTGAATATTATTTGAAATGAAGGCAAACATTTCCACATATTGATAAAGAAAAAAAGCTCAGCCTCGACACCATCACGTCACGGGGGTGCAGTGACAACACAGGCCCACTCTGAGATTTTTTTTCCATATGTCTTGTGAGTGATAAAAGGAAGGCAAATAAAATAATGTCTGATTTTAAGAAGAAATTATTCTTGTCAGTGCAAGCTATCATAAGAAACTTGTTTTACTTCAAAGGAGAGCTTTAGCAGCATGCCAAACAAGGCATGAAAATAGCCTTTCTAATGTAATTCCCTGTTTTCTTCAGATATTTCCGTCAGATGTCATCGGATGCTGGTATATAAGGGGATTATTTTCARAATTTTTTTTTCAGTTACTTTCTTTTTTCATGGGATAAAATAATCATTTTGTTAAGGCCAAATGATTTAAAGCATCACAGATTATGGCTTTGTGAATTTTCTATATGAACAACCAAGAACCAGAAAATCACCAAATAAAACAATCCAAATCCAAGGGGAAATTTTATAATGATTCTAAGTTATTGATTTTTTTTCCAATTTTTATCTTTGGCATCTTGCCCCCTTGCAATTTCTGCTGAGTTCTCACCTAAATAACCTCTGTGATTTCAAAAGAAACAGTCTACTTGTGTTTGTGTGTGTGTGCAYGCGCACATGTACACCCACGCATGTGCACGCTACTTAGTGCCACACTTAATTTTAAATTATTTTCAAAAGAGTACGGAAATATTATCTGTAATTTCAGGGTGAAATCCTCTCACACTGATTTTAAAGCAAGACAGCCACTAAAGTAAGATTTTACATGAAGCACAGCTTCCCATTTCACCCTTTTCTAACATCTCCTTAGAAAATAACCAAACGAAGAAAAAGATACTATCAATTATCAATATTGTGGGTAAATAAGATATATTGTCTTCATCAAAAGTTTTTCTTTCATTTTCCACTACTCTGTAGTTTAAAAAATGCCATCATTAGCAAGATGTAAAGACAACTATTTAAAATATGTTCTCTGAATTTTCAAGAGTGTTAGCCTAAAGGGAATATTATCAGTTCCACAAGTGCATAACTTTTTATTTATATTTACACGTCATTTCCCAGGTGTTTATTTGTAATTTTATTATTTTTCTTCTCAATATTTGCAGAATCATACTTACAGTGTGTCAGTCGCCACATTTTCTGCCCCAAACATGTGCACACACAACACATGTACACACCCAAGTGTGTGTGCACATCAGCCAACACCCATATACATATACACACAATGCTCATGTGCTCGCACACATACACACACACACACACTTTTGACTCTTATAGAGTCTCATAACAGCTTAAGAGTCAGGCTGTTAGATTGTTGCTTATTTTCTAGGCTATATAGCCATCACAATAGATTAATAGATAAAATCCTTTATGTTAATTATAATTCAAGGTTGAATTTTATTTTAGAGGTTTTGGTTCTGAGTTGTATATGATTTAATGGCTACATGAAACCTCATCATACTTKTTGGTAAGAGTTTCAACATTAAATTTCTAAAGGATATTACTTTTTAGTTCAGCTTACACCAAAAGATATTAATAATTAAAGAAAAAAAATCTACAAATCAAATTCTGCCTAGAAGTTTTTCTTTTTTTAATGCCATGGTGGACATTTTCAATTTAAAAATCAGTTGGCAGTGAGAGCCAGGATGGGAAGTTTGTATAAGTGTATGCCTGCTAACAAATATAAAATATATAATTTCTGTGTTAAAATTTTCTTACAGATTCATGATTTTTTTTAACCAGTTTTATTTTCTAAAGCAGCTACTCTGAACTGCAGTTACTCTAAACTGTGGATTGTGTAAAAGATTGATCAATGTCATACTCCAAACAATATAACTAAAATTACATATATAATTATAGAGCAAAAAAATGAGTTTTAAGAGGTAAATGTGTTCATTTCATGTTATGACCCACCCCCTGCCATTTAAAGACATGCCTAAAATTCCTTTTGGTTGGCAACATATTCAGCTGGATATTGGTTCCTGAAAAGAGTATTTATCTTTAAGGTACCCACATCAGAGGCTAACCCTGCCTTTGCATGGGTACCTCTTCCCCTGAGTGGTTCTCCATGGTTAGAGGTATTGTCTGGAGCCCTGAGATTCCTTAATGGGGAGCTGGTTCCATATCCCCCTCATCTTATGTTTGTATACTCACAGATATCTATGATTTTTATAGCTTTCCAAAAATCATCATTTCTGTGAATGATGAATGGTACCAGGCATGTGTTATTTTGAGGAATTCAATTACCTCTCACATAAGAAATGATCAAAAGTGTAATTTTAGAGTCCTTTGAAATTCAGATTTTTTTGGGGGGGGGCTTCTGTAAGTCATGCTGTTAGTTTGGGTTTAGTTTGATCTTCTTGGTATTTATATTTTGCTTTGACAGTATAAAAAATCTTTAAGACAGACAACTTCCTATTAAAAAAGCCTCAATTGACTGATTTCTAAAATTGATTATATGTTTTAAAATTTTTCCTAAAGTTATTGTGTATTTTTAAATTAGAGGATTAATTTGCATGTGACATAGAATTGGTAACTTGTTACATGTTTCTGAATTGAAAGAATATGTGACTGATTACATTTTCTATCTGGAAAGATTTAGTTGACATTTTCCCAGATGGTATGCAGAAGATTCTGTAGGATCCATTTGTTCTAGTGCCCCTTTTAAGTTGCTCAGCTAGCAAATATTTTAATAAGGCTTCACAATTCCCTGAGCTTACTGACCACCTTTGGAGCATTTATCTAAACAAATCGTATTGGCACTCTCCCAATGCCAAACCAATCTCTTGAGCCCCTGTAACTAATGAGAACTTTAAAATTGCTTGTCACCAGCAAGCGATGAATTGATCTGCATGTTAATCTTGACTTTTGATCCTTAGTGGATTAAAAACTAGCATGGCCACAAATGAATTTCTTCTCCTGGCAATCTTGGAATTAAAATGAAACTCTGTATTCATAAATCCTAATTGCATGGATTGCTTATATTAACATGACTTTAAAAAAAAAAAGTCTACTTTAGAATTCCTCTGTTTTCAATAAATATCCCAATTGGTCCTGATGGCATTTTTGAATTATAGCCTTTTAAAAATCTTAAAATTACATAGTTTCTGAGTAGAAAGGAAAGCATTGCCTTCTCTTCCTGGCAGAGAGTTAATGAAGTGAATTTAATTGTGCTGCCAATTAATATACATGCTAAAATTTCCACTGACTGCTCTACCCATTTCTTTTTTAGTGTAAAATATATTGCCACTTTTTTTTTTCCTTTTATGTCCTTCATAGGTATGGGATACTTGTAGTAAGCTGAGTAATTTTGCTGATGGACCAAAAATACTTTTAAGGTTATTGTTAATTTACCAGCAGATTTCCCTTGTGAATCACCTGTATTTGTTAAATTGAGTGACATTTATTAAAGACTCAAAACCTACTAAAATGGAATTTCCTAATTTTCTTCTGAAATACATTGGTAAGATTTGTGCAGGGAAGTATCTATGGCGTTTTATTTGATAAAAAAGCTATAGGGTTAAAAGTATTGATTTGGAGCACAATGGGATGTACTTCTGTCTAGGGTATGCTATTCGTTACATACAAGAAAAGCATAACTGCTTCTTTTAGAGAGAGTGTATAAAGGCAACAGGTACTTGGAATCCACTTCTTTTCTCTTGGATATAACTTGCATATCTGATAGGGAGAGTTGCTGTAGCCTGATTCTCGCCCCAATAGGGGAGTTCACACTTTACCTTCCAGGCATCATAGGGAGGTTATTACAAAAGCACTGGCACCCAGCCTGTGGTCACTGATGTCTTCTCCACCCTCTGCCACCCTGCAGAGGAAAATGAGAGTCAGCATGCTAGATGACTAGGTTGGCTCCTTTTGGACCAAGAACATAGGTTGCCATTACAGGGGACTGGAACTCCTCCTTTTCACCCCTGTGTTAAACATGATTGTGCAGCAAAAGGGGATTGAAACATCTGAGACCTTGAAAAAGTAATTTGGTAGTGGCTGCCCTCACAAAGCCCACTGGATCCGACAAGCTTCACTGTTGTAGCTTCAGAACAAAGAGGAAAGTGAGCTATCTGGAGGCAGAGTTGAAATAGACGCCCCATTCTAACTTCTGCAGTGCTCTCAACTAGGCCTATCCTAGGCATTAATCCAAGTGTCCAGAAAGCTGGCAAGGAGTGGGCTAGTCCTTTCTTTGACACAAGCACATATCCACCCTCTTCCCATAATTTCCAAGAGAAAGTCAGCTAAGGGTGGCAGAAACCAGACCCCATTGACTCCAAGTGGTCCGTTGGTCACAATTTATACTATTCAACAAAATATGCTGAATTTGTCTGTTCTGATACATAAACCAAATTCATGATGTGATTTAAATAGAAAGCTTAGAGATTTTTTTGCAATGTGCTCACTGAATGCTTTCGTGCGTATTTATTTGAGAGAGCTTACATATGTTTTGGTGGGCTTTTTATTTCAAGTCACATGGGATATGAGAAACTAGGAGCTATCCCTTTTTAGAGCATCTGGAGTGAGGAAAGCTTGGTCCTTATTCTCCTATTAGTATCCATTAACAGTTGAACCCTTATCCCACTCTGAGTGGTATATGCCACACATTTGATGCATGAAAGCTGGAAGCAATAAAGCAAAAATAGGGCCTTCGACTGATTTCTTTTGTTTTCTTTTTCAGCAAATGTCCCCAGCAGGCCACAGGTAAGAGTTAATGTCTTGATTGGCTCAATTGTTGCTGATCCTAACCCAGAGTAAGCAGATTAGCTACCATTGATTTTAGTCTTACTTCATTCTCCATATAAATACATAAACTTGTTTGGCATTTAAATGCTAGTTGATTCTGTACAATAGTTTGTCAACCTGGAGGGGTCATAAAGGCAGGCTTCCAAGCCAGATTCTACAGATAGCAAAAATACCATGTGTTTGATCTTCTGTGTTCTAATGTCATGTTATATGCTAGTTGGAAGTCACCCTGGGTAGATTTGGCCAACCACTTGTCTCTCATGTCTAGTTTGTATAGAACATTGACTTTTAAAAAGTGACTAGTACCACAACAGTGATACAAAGATTATTACTCTGGTGGGGAAAAGTTAGAATTTTTCATTTAAAATATTGTTGCAATTTGTTGGCAGCTATAGCTTTATGCCTTGCAGTATTTTTCTTAGCAGGGACTCCTCGTAATAATGTGCCACGGGACCACAGTAGATCTTTAGGAAGATTTTTTTCCACGAGCTTGTTAATTAGTCTTTTTTAAAAATGGTGAACATTCTGAGTGTCTTATTGGCAGGGGAGCTGCGGTCTTGGCTGGAAGACACTATTCCATGTCACATTGGTGATGGCCATGGGTTTCTTCTGATTGCTTCTATTGTCTTAGTGAATTGAAAACTAGACTTCATCAAGGAGCGAGCGAGGCTGGGGAGGTGTCAGAGATGTAAGGAGAGAATGGAGGATGTGCTTGGAGAACACCAGAGCAGATGCCCCCAGAAATAGTGTGACAACCAGGCAGCAGTAGAGGACAGCATCCAATGTGCCAGTCATGAATTTAACAGAAGGCCAGCCTGCAGCCACATTCCAGTTCATAAACACAGGCACCAGAATTACTGTAGTGTTATATTTAATATTTTAACAAAGTCAAAGTTGGGTCAACCCCATCAAGGAAAGATGCAAAGTAGTGACTGGTGATTGAAATGATTTAATCAGAACCTTAAGCTCAATGGTGAGAGACATTGAGTCTAGTGTAGGAGAGAGAGAAAGAGAGAAAAAAAAAAAAAGAGGCAAGGCTGTATGGGTCCAAGGATGGATGATGTAGCCATTCTATCAGAAATAAACTGAAAGACTAGATGTGGTTGTCAGAAGGTGGGTTGATGGAAATGTTGGAGGAATGGCATGTTGCGTCAATGGCTAAGAGAAGAAGGGGACAGGATCACTGGAGAAGAGGCGCTCAAAGAAGTGAGAGGTCAGAGTGTTGGCAAAGTCGTCTATGCAGGTGTTGAAATCATTGACTTAAAAAGAGGTTCCCGGTGGGTGACAATGAGTCTACAGATAGACTCTTCTTCAAGAAGTGAGGAGGTGATTCCAGGAGCTAGTAGGTGACTGTGTTTTCTATCTGAGATTCAAATGAGTGTTTCCATGGAGAAGAGAAAGAAAGAGGCTAACCCTGAACAGCTTCAGTGAGGCCCAGAAAGACTCTCAGGGCTGTGAGGAGGTGAGAGAAAAGTCATGTGTGACTTTTATATGGGAATCTGTATCTTTTTGAAGATCCAGATATTGATTAGGCAAGCAGGGAAGGAAAGCATCCAGAGAAGAGGTAGAGGATGAGGGTTTTACTGAATCATGGACATGTGATCCAGGGGCCATGGTGGGGGGGCGGGGTTTCATGAACTATGGAGGTAGAACATGGGGACACACTTAGAGGAGTTCATATTTCTCTGTGGAACAGCATGTAGAATGAAAGGGCGACTGGAAATCTGGAATCTGGAGTGTGTTACAGTAACCCATTAAGAACAAGGAGAGGGGCTGTGATTAGTCCTTGTGGTCCCAAGGTGCCGGCAAAGCCTGGGTGATGGTGGCCGGGAAGCAGAGAGGGAATCATCTTATAAATCCTCAAGTACTTTACAGGTGCTCAGACTTTAAAGCCTAAAGTGATCTAAAAGACCTTCTTCTACATTATTTTCAGATTTTAAAAAATTGGGTTTAACCAGGTACACATGATACATGCCTATGATCCCAGCAACTCAGGAGGCTGAGGCAGGAGTTGAGTAGTTGAGCAAAACCCTGTCTCAAAATAAAATAAAGAGGGTCAGGGATGTAGCTCATTGATAAAGCTCCATCTCCAGTACCAAGTACCATTAATTAATTAATTAATTAAAAAATAAGAAATTGAGTTTGAAAAGAGCTACATGTACCTGGACAGAGCAAACATCTGACATCCAGAAGACCCCTTCTTCCTTTCTCCCTTCCCTCTTCATTCCTTTTTTTTTTTTTCTTGAATCTTCAGCATTTTCTCTCTTTTCATTTTTCCATTTCTTGGGTCAAGTGGAAGTTCATGAAAAGTATGTTTTCACCTGGATAGTTGTGCTAACAATTATATTGCATGGGAGATGTTGTCCACTCATCAATAGACACATCCAATTCCCAGGGATAATGATGCATAGAAATGATTTTAAAACTCTGCCAGGCATGGTGGCACATGCCTGTAATCCCAGTGACTCGGGAGGCTGAGGCAGGAGAATTRCAAATTCCAAACCAGCCTCAGTAACTCAGTGAGACCCTAAACAACTCCTTGAGACCCTGTCTCTAAAGAAAATATTTAAAAAAGAGCCTGAGGATGTGGCTCAGTGGTTAAGTACCCCTGGGTTCAATCCCCATTACCAAAAAAAAAAAAAAAAAAAAAGATTTAAAAATCCTTTTGACCTATCAATATTAGTATATAACAGCATGTTCTTTCACAGGTAAAATTGATCTCTCTCCTTCTCTGTCCTCAAAGTTCTTTGAATTTACTTTGGTTGACACTGATTCCATATCAGAAATGAATGAAGTGTTGTTGAGATACCTTCAAAATACCCTTAAAAGACAACTATTTGACCTTGCCTTGGAAAAGTTGAGCCCGCTCCGTTGAGTGTGGTCTGAATTTGTATCCTCTTGCCTGGGTCATTTTAAGTTTAATGGCCACCTCTGCACATCCTCAGATTACTCTTCTGCCTTCTCTTTCTCCTTTCTGGATCCCAGCTCACTACTGAGAGGCTGGAGCTGTCAGAATGTCGTCTCCACAGGAGACCYCTCATGACACCAAGAGCTGGGCTGGGTGCTCATTATATACTCACCACTGGTAGTTTCAACAGGAAGAAGCAAGTCTTCTTGATTTCCAGCCTGTGCAAAAGGAAGGGCATCCATACTTCCTTTCATATTAGCTGCAGTAGTGAAAAGGAGACTAGGTGACTTCAGAATGAAAGGGAAGGACCTCACCCCAGAGGGCCCCAAGTCACATGAGAGTTAKGGGTGCCCTCTGAACTCAGCAGGAGGAGGTTCCACTAATTCTGAAAGGAATGCTTCTATTGAAGAGTTGACAGGTCTTTGCTACCTGAAATACTTCATGCAAACCTTGTTCTGACACTGCCATTTTCCCTTCCCACAGGCAATGTGAAGCATCCATCCAGCCGGCTGACATTTCCTGACTTACAGTATTGCCCTTTTCTGCAAATGCCAATTCCAAGTTCCATTTAATCAGAAGCTCCATGGCTCCTTGACACGTGCTGTTGAGCGCTGACTGTGTGTTCTACTGAGGGAGTAAAACACTTGACTATCCAAAGAGAAAAGGATATTTTGTTTTTATAATAACCATATATTATTGTTTTCTTCTTCCCTTTCTATGCAACTGTAAATTAATGAACAGAGAGATATTTGGAAATGGTAATACATTTGTCACTGATTTGTATAATGTATACAGCATTGGGAAAGTGGGTGGGGGCTTTCTAATATGATACTATCTTTTTAATAACCATGACAAAATTTGTGTAAGAATTAGAAGACCACTTTACATTTTTACATTCCTTTTGCTGTCCATATTAACCTCGTACAATGACTTCATTTATTTCTTTGACTTTATTACATTATGTTTTGGTTATTTATAATTCATCTGCCACATGACCAAATAGATTTTGTGTATTTTTTCTATAATTTGGCCAAATTAGTAAGTTCATAGACTTAAATCGAATATTTTACATATATATACATATATAGGTATATGTGTATATATATATATATATATATATATATATATATGTATATATATGGATTAGGCAACAGCTCTGAGTATACTATTGAACTTTATTTGACACCAGACACCTGCTTCTTCAGTAACCACTTGGATAACCACAATAAGAATCCTAAATGGCATGACCATTGGAATTTTTTCCCCTCCTCTTTATGCCTTTGTGTAAGTAAATCTTGATTTCTTTATTTATTTCATGTCCCAATCTATACAATAAGAGAAGACAGCATTATAATAATCTCAAAGAACATTTTACCAAAGGTTATCCATTGAAGCATGTTTTCATTTTGATACAGAAAACAAATGTTGCCACAACATTTTCTAGTCCTGGGGTCTTGATTTTCATCATTGAATACATAGCTAGCTATTAGCTATTGTGAGACCAGGACACATCAATGTTGTTAGTTCCCCTTCAAGAAAATTTTGTTGTTTTTTGTATTTTCCAGTCCTTTTATCATTCTCGAAACTTGTTTCTGAAAGCAGACCCAAGACCCAAGTTCAGTGCATGTCTTCTTTTACCTTTTGGGGGAATGAGCAGAAGTGTTACTACCCTTCACTTAATCAGTGCATTTGGGAAGGGTGCTTATCAAAAGCCTATGTTACTACTTCCAAAGAAGAATGAATGAAATGYTTAGTTGTACCCCTGCCTCTGCCTATGAGTGCATTCAGTTAGGTATTTGGTTCCTTTTTTTTCTTTTTAACATTCAATTAGGTATTGGATTCCTTTTTAAAAAACATTTAATTGATTCATTGTAAACCTGTTACTTAATTACCAAATGTAGAGAAACCAAAAATAAAAATGAGAATAATATGTTTTGATTCAAGCATATGTGCTTTTAAAACATCAGGACATTTTAACTTTGGGTTCTCTTTAACTGGGATCTGGCCAGGAGGAGGCTTAAAGTTAGAAATTGCTATTCTTTTAGAATAGGTTGGGTGGGTTGGGGGGCAAGGGTCTATTTGCAGCATAGATATTTTGAGAWGAAGAAAAATGTTTTATATAAGAGGAAAGCCATGACCACCTTTCTACCTCAGATCCATCTTCCTCCATTGTGTTGGAAATAGCTTTATGCTGTGCAGTCTGCAAAGTCTAGAGCTTTTTATCAGGCCATATCATACCCAAGAAAGCACCTATTTAAAGAAAAAATTAAATCCCCTGAACTCAGAACTCCAAGTTGTAGATTTGGTGTTTTCCTTGTTCTTGGAGAAGTCATATGTTAATTTTTTTGCCTGTATTTGTATGCAAAATGTTCTCTATCTGCTATTACAGAAAAGCTACATGAAACACTACGTTGTAACCGTCTAAGTAATAATAAAAAGAAATATATTGCAGTAACAACAATGGGAAATAAGTATATTATTCTTTTGAAATATGTGGTAAAGAATAACTCATAGATTATCATCTAATCTGGTTACATGTTGTATTTTTCATCCTGAATAAAAGTAATTTTAACACAAAATGACTTTGATATTCATTTTGTCTTCACTACCAGACTCTGACCCTTGAATGCACATTAATGAAMATAAACTATAGAGTGAGCCTATATGCTGATAAATCTGCATATTTTCTAGAAACTTCTCATATACTCCAGTTCACTCTCCTTTTTTTTTTTTTTTAAATCTTACTCTGTTGCCTCTTACATATATGTATACTTATGGCATTTTTAATTTCTTTTGTATATCAAAAGTTTATTGATAAGGAAAAATAATGTTGGATATAAAAATATATACATAAAGTTCTCTTGAGCCTTCATTTTTATAACTAAATGCTATTAGCATTCAGTTGGCTACTCTCTCAAATCCTTAAACTCATCTTTGTACTGGATTTTAACTACTCTAGTAGCAGAGTAATCCKTTTCTGAAGCCATCCAATAGGAAACTGTCAAGAATCGTGTTACTTGATTCTAAAATTATAAATCTACTCTGAATTTTAAAAAATCCTYAAATATATGTTAAAATAAATAAAACATGCATTATGATAGACTAATATTTTAAACATTTGCTCTACCACAAAGGAATAGTCACATTAAGAATTTCTAGGAAGCAATTGTCTTCAATAATTTATGGCACGGGTAGTTGGAATAAAAGTTAAAAAAATGAAAAAGTTTTGTTTTTATTAGCTTGTTATATATCACTGAAATTTACACACACACACACACACACACACACACACACACACACCACCCACATATGCGAATGTGGTTTGCTCTTGGATATTCCTCCACTCCAAACACATTCACTGTTTAGTACACCAACTCTTTCAAAGGCCTTTCTTACTTTGAACAGAATGAAAATCTAATAAACACCACTTAAACCTGTAAGCAGAGGAAAATAGCTCAGGACATTCCACCTGGAAGCAGAGAGACAGCACTCTGCTCAACAGGGACACAATGTAAGCTCCAAAGGCAGGCCCTCACTGACCCACCTTCTCCAGCCACATTCCACCTGCCTACAGCTGCCACCCAGTTAATACAGACTGGTAATGCTCTGAGTAGGTTAAGGCTCTCATAATCTAATGGTTTCACCTCTGAGCTTTCTTGAACCGTCTCACACACGCACTTTTGGGAGACCTCTCATATCAAAACCATAACCGATTCTCTGGTTAAGAATTTTTCTGATGCTCTAGTGCCCTTTGGAGAGTCACAATACACATGAACATATTAAGATGTTTAGAAATCTGAAGAAAAGAAACTGCCTAAATRCGTATCACTTTGTATTTCTAAAGCATTTAACCATAGAACACTTCTGTCTTATTATTAGCATCCTTCAGTGTACATTTTGGATGCTGAATTACTGTTATGTTTTTGTGTTGCAAATAGATACAGTTAGTGATCTATGAAATCTATAATAATAACAAATGGATGATAAAACAATCATCAACATTAATTCAGGATTTTAAAAAGTAGAGTACCCTTGGATGGCAACAATACATTCTTAGGATCAGAAGTTAGAAGTTATGCTMAGGTATGAATAAGGATCCAGAAAAACAAAACAAATGACAGTCTTCCCTTAGGTTGTCTTTGTACTTAGTTCAGAAAATACTTATATTTCTAGAAAAACATGATGTATTTTTCTAAAAASCATGTCTTCTAGATGGGCCATGTGTATCAGGCTCTGCTAAACCAGACATGAATTACAAAAATTAACAAGAGACAGAAATGTCTGTGGTATCCAAAACATTATTTCCTGAGATCCTTTTTGTATGTTTGTTTCTTTGCTTAATTAATAACCGGAATTTCTGGTTTTTGCTAAAACCAGCCAAGCCATTAACTAATCAGAATGTGACTGCCATGTAATGGAACTATAAATATCACTTTCTATCTTCTTTTTTTTTTTTTAAATTTTTTCAATAGTTTCTTTTGTTTCAATTTCATTGATTTCCGCTCTGATTTTAATTATTTCTTGCCTTCTGCTACATTTGCTGTTGTTTTGCTCTTCCTTTTCTAGGGCTTTGAGATGAAGTGTGAGCTCATTTATTTGTTGGTTTTT